GGGGGTTGGGGCGCCGCCCCCTGTCACACTCAGGGGCAGGGCCAATGGAGAGGTTATGGCTCTTCCCCTCGTCACACACAGAGCAAGGGCCCGTGAGGGGGTGGGTTGGGGCGCCGCCCTCTATCACACCACAGAGCAGGGCTGATCAGAGAGGTTGGGGTGCCGCCACTGTCACACTCAGGGCAGGGCCGATGGGGAGGTTATGGCTCTACCCCGTCACACACAGAGCAGGGTCCGTGGGGGGTGGGGGGGGTGGTAGGGGTTGGGGTGCCGCACCCTGTCACACACAGAGCAGGGCCGATCAGGGGGTTGGGGCGCCACACCCTGTCACACACAGAGCCGCAGGGCAATCAGGGGGTTGGGGAGCTCCCCCCTATCAGTCACAGAGCAGGGCTGATCAGGGGGTTGGGGAGCCTTCCCCTGTCACAAACAGAGCAGGGCGGATAGGGAGGTTGTGGCCCCGCCCCCTGTCACACACAGAGCCGCAGGGCATTCAGGGCGTTTGGGCGCTGCCCCGTCACGCTGATCCCGGTGCAGGGAGGCCTCGCAGCTCCGCTGATCCCGGTGCTGGGAGGCATATTACCCTTTTACTATATAGGATAGAGGCCTGGAGCACAGGTGGGGGCTGGCTGGTTTGCCCTGAAGGGTGTCCTGGATCAGGGTGGGGGTCCCCACTGGGGTGCCTGGCCAGCCTGGGTGAGGGGATGATGGCTGTTTGCAGCTGGTCACACCCCCTTCAGGGTGGGGGTCCCCACTGGGGTGCCTGGCCAGTCTGGGTGAGGGGCTGAGGGCTATTTTCAGGCTGGCGGGTGACTGAAGCTCCCAACTGCTCCTTTTTTTCTTTTTTTTTTATTCTGGGCCAGCTTTAGCTCTGAGGCTTGGCTCCAGCTCTTAGGCCTCGGCTGCTGAAAGCAGGTATCTGGTTTGTTTGGGTTCTATAATTGAAACACTGCTGCGGTCCTGCTGGCTGAAGCCCGACTAGCTGAAAACAGGTTTCTGGGGTTTTGTTTAGCTTCTATATTTGTAACAATGTTTCAAACTGCAAGCTCAGAGGCCTGCAGCGGCAGGCGGAAACGTTGGAGTCCTCCGTCACTGAAGCAAGCAAGCCTCATGTTCGCTTCAAGCTGCCTGGCTGCCGGCCGCCATCTTGGCTGGCAGTTAATTTGCATATCGCCCTGATTAGCCAATGGGAAGGGTAGTGGAGGTACAGCTAATTACCATGTTTCTCTTTTATTAGATAGGATAACACTCATTTTTCAAACTATTTACCCAACCATTTGATTAGCTTACAGTGCAGGGGAAAACAGGCATTGAAATGATTATGAAACCATGTGGCTGTAATGACAGTATGTACAATATATTAAAAAAAAAAACAGAGAGTAAGGAGGCTGTAAGTCTGTCTGAGGAGTTGGAGAAAGATTTAGTGAAAAGGCAATATTCTAGCTGAAGGTTAACGATAAGGGACAGAGTATTAAAGAAAGATGGAAAAGGTGGAGCAAAGGACAAGTGTATAAAGAACATGGTGAAAATGGGGAAATACAAGAGCTAGTCATCATTTTAGCAAGAAGATGTGTGATTTAATACCTGAGAGTGCACCATTTTCTGACTCGCTCTTCACTTCCAATTCCAAGTTATCATCTGTTATGTCTTCTCCAAGCACAGCAGCCCAATCTTGCATTTTTAGCAAGCGTTCAGTCAGAGACTTGACATTTAGCAAAGGGAGGAAAAAAAGAGAGGGTGATGCTTCATGCTAATAATTTACAATTTCTGAATGTATACTTATAGTTTAAAAATCAATGCACATAAATAATAGTACATGAGCTCTTTCTCTCCAGCTAGTATTGAAAAACCTAGTATTTATTGACTATTAAATTCTGAACCTTAAAAACAAATACAATTCTTCATAATGGTGCATATTTGCTAAATATATCACATGACTATAAAGTGACAAAACAGCATGTCATGGCTGTGGCTGGGCATCGACCCATAAACCAGGTCATGGTTCAATTCATGGTCAGGGCATATGCCTGGGTTTTGGGCTCGATCCCCAGTAGGGGGGGTGCAGGAGGCAACCAATCAATGATTCTCTCTCATCATTGATGCTTCTCTCTCTCTCCTTCTCCTTTCCTCCTGAAATCAATAAAAAAATATATTAAAAAGAAAAAGAAATTACTAGAGAGAATCTGAATTGTAGCATTTCAACAGTACTTTTTGCACTTTCTTGAAAGAAGGAAGGTTTTCTAGCACTATGAATAATAAAATGACTGTGCTATGTATTTCTATAAAAGGACCCACCTAAAAACCCATTCTGCCCTATAATTTACACCTTTCAAATTCCTGAGAGTTCCAAGCACAAATAACATGGCTTATATTTTTCAGTAGAGTTTGAGATTAGCATCTCATTTTTGTTTTGTTCTTTTTTCTTTTTCATTTTGTTTTGTTTAGGAAGAATTCTAAGCCCTTTAGTAGATCAAATTTGGAAGAGCAAGAGGGGAAAACAATATGCCAAAGTATGAATACAACTCCTAAAGATGGAATCTTAAAAACACTCTTAGTAGCAACATAAAAAGTATAAATGTATAGCTTTCAAGATGATATCATGCACTTCACTATTAGATTACAAAATGTTAGTTTTATTTCTTATTACTTAATACTCACACCTGAGTATCTCTTTGTAGCTTGAAAGCATAAGATTTAAACGAGCAGGCAGAAAAAGGGGGTAGGAGAGGGAGACAAGTTTCAATTAGATTTATTTTTTTAAAAGTACTCATCTCTGTGAAAGTACATATACCAGGTAATCAACGTATCAAAGATATTCAGCCAATACATACAACTTCATCTGTCAATTTCTAAAATTCTTTCTAACCCTATCAACAGAAACAGATGGCATTCTAAAGACAAAGGTAAAATTATTATTCTTTTTCTTTTTTCATTTAATACCTACGATAAAATAAGGAGAGGGAAAAGGGCACAGAGTGTTGAGGTATTATATATATTAGTAGCCCTGTGCACGAATGCATGTGCTAGCAGCTCGCTGCCACCCTCCTGTAGCTCCCCCGGCCCCCCACTCATAGCTTGCTGCCCTGCCCCCTCCTGTAGCTCTCCGCCACCCGCTTATAGCCAGTAGCTCGCTGCCGCCCTTCTGTAGCTCTCCTCATCCCCCTCCCCCTGTCCCCCCTCATAGCTTGCTGCCCTGCCCCCTCCTGTAGCTCCCTGCCGCCCACTTGTAGCTCGCTGCCCCACCCTCCTGCTGATCCGTGATCCGGTCGTTATGCGGTCGGTCGTTACGTAACGACCATTTGCATATTACATCTTTATTATATAGGGTATTATTTGTTGTAATCTTTGCTGCCAAAAAGAAGCATTTGACAGCAAAGAGGACAATCCTGGTACAAATTGAAATGTATGCCAAAAAAGTACACATACTCAAATTGGCCAAATCGTCAAAATAAAAACTGCTACTACTGGGCCGGTGCAGCTCAGTGGCTGAGAGTCAACCTATGAACCAGAAGATCATGGTTGAATTCCGGTCAGGGCACAAGCCCGGGATGCGGGCTGATACCCAGTGGGGGGCCTGCAGGAGGCAGCCAATCAATTATTCTTTCTCATCATTGGTGTTGCTATCTCTCTCCCTGCCTCTCTAAAATCAATAAAGAATATATATATATATGTGTGT